ATTCATACATATACCGGTAGGAATTCAGCCTCTGTCATTTTTGTTGCAATAGATATGAAAATTAGCAAAGTCTGTAATAAAGACATGAAATAAGACTAGAAATAAGTTTATATTTTTATATTTCATAACATTTTCCCCCAAGCCTTGTCTATCTGTTTAAGCAACTTGAGTAAATTGTTAAGAACAAAGACGCATGTTGCTGTCATACCAAATACCTACCAGGATTTATGACTTTCAGGGGTCATGAAAGTGGCATATAATTTTGGGTGTGGTTCAATAAACATAATTTTGAAACATTACAAACGAGTGTAACCTGGGCTTTTTCAAATTAGCTTATTGAGAAGGTTTCTGATTGCTGATTAATAAAGTTAGTGCAATAAATTTACTGTATATTGTCTGTTTTCAGACCCTTTTTTCTGATCAGTATTTACTGGACTAAATGATGAACGAGATTTCGTAGACAAATTTTGTTGATAGAAGTTGAAATTAAAACAGGTTAATTAATTGGACAGGGTTGCAAATAAAGGTACCAGTCTCCAGCAGGATAAATAAAGAAGTTCCATTCTTGGTTTATCATTTCATAAGTCTTAACACTCTAAGCAATTATTTGGATTTGCTACTTTGGGCTCTACTCAATTTGGTAAGGGACAATTTGTACATTAACCTGGTCCAGCTAAAATCTACCTGTCTGATAGGTGGACATGGCTTAATTTTGACCCCTGAATAATGTTGGTTCATTTTATTGCGGCTTCTTCTTTTTAAAATCCTATACTTCATAATTATTTATTAAATTTATTAACCTGTCATTCTAGTTCATAATAAATTATTAACTTTATTAACCTGTCGTTCTACTTCATAATTGATTAACTTTATTAACCCGTCATTCTACTACATAATAATTGATTAACTTTATTAACCTGTCATTCTAGAATGTATTGTTATACAGCAGTATTATAACACAACATATAATATTTTGAAAATGATTTACAAACTTTATGCAAATTTTAAATTCGTAAGTCTAATTTTGTGACTGGGACCTTATTCTCTGAAAATGAAACCAAATCAAATTTTGTTATTGTTCAAATTGCATTACTTGACACGCCCGACAAAAACCCAATTGCGGAGAACACTGGGTCAATAGTTAATTTAAGGTGAAAGCCCTTACTACCCCAATACATTGCAAACCTATTTTTGTTTACGGATACATACGCAGGTAGTGTTGCTTTAATTATTCAATCTTGATTGTATTTTTAATATCATTACATTGACTGTCATTATCTTTATCTCTGACAACAGCAAAAGTATTCTTTTCTTTGAGGATTTGTCGAATGATTGAAATGTCAGGATGTGCACGTAGTCGAGTGTAAATTAGCTTGGTCATCTGAATCGTTATGTAGTAGTTTCACGCACAGTGTCCTGTAACAATATTGCCTGGTGTCTTATCTTTTTAATAGTTTTTTTTTAGACTAATTATGTATTAACCTGTTTGGGCGGGATGTATTGGAGTTGGTAGTGGTTTGTAATAACAGAATGTTACATGTTTATTTTGCACTTTGTAAATATGTCAGACATAGTATACATGGCACATGGCCAATTATGGTATGCAAATTAGGGTGTCAATACAAAGAGGCTTTCAGGAGAGTGCAGTGGTCTAGTTTTGCTACTCCTATCGGTAAAAAAGGTGCCAGTGTTTACAAAAAAAGTTGTGACAGTGCAACTGTTTGCGGTTTTATGAGTACCCCCGTTTGTTTGAATATGCTCTATAATGATTACCACACTTTTTTTTCTGAAAAAAACAAGAAGGAGCACTGCAATTCAGCGGCGCCACCAAGTGGGGTAGATAAGGTTCTCCCTACCAGGGTGTGGATTTTTTGATAATTCTAAGTTAAAGTGGAACATTCTATGACTTCCTTGGGGCCAAAAATACTATCAGACGGATCACAGTTGAAGACTGTGGTCACATGTGATCCCTGGTCAATTAGAATTTTATGTTTTCTCCCTGCTTTGCAGGTTAAGTGGGCGCATGCCCATAGCATAAGGGCGCTGCCCCACTGTTTCCTTGTTTAAAAAAAAATCCTAGAATAACCCATGGGTTACTTAACCTTTTGCCACCTTACCCTATCCCTATATTATTGTTCACATGTTCTTAATCCCCACCCCCCTGAGTGAGAAAAAAAAACATGAGAAAATGCCAGACAATTTCAAGTATCTCTGAACACCGCTATCCAGAAATTAGCCCCACAGTTTTATTGTACATGTTCACATATATTTAATTTATTGGATTTTCCTCATCAGTGAAAATGGCGAAATTAAAACCCAGTGAATTTAATGCATTTGCAGTACTCAGTGGAAGTGTCAG